CATCTGATCCCACCTCTGATGTTTTGGAGGTCCATGTTTTCTCTGCTCCTATCTTGTATTGTTTTATGAACTGAAGTGAAAAAATCAAAGGGATTACAAGATTAGTGTGTACTTATTCCGGCTGACAAAGCAGGTAACACATTTGTCTTTGGTTATAAGATTCATTATTAAACCCCCGCTTGAAAAGATGGTGATTAGGATGTCTGTCCGTCTGTACGTCCGTCCATATTTACATCCACTCGTCTTAATCTTATACCATTCCATGAAATTTAATTTCATGAGACTTTCACAGATTCTTTGTTACATAGTATCATTGTGCACCTTCTTTTTTACAGTTTGATTGGAAACATATTCGACTTTTCATCAGCAAAACAATGACAATGCCATTTTCCCTATGATATTGAAGATTACCCATTCTTTGTTACTTAAAGCCATTGTTACCTCCTATTTTACTTTTTCATCTGACATTTATTTCGGGTCTCCCAGAGCAAAACGTGGACTTTATCTGACATTTATTTCCGATCTTTGCTTGCAAGTAGAGTCTCAGAGCAAAACATGGACTTTGCCATCAGGCGCATATTAGAGGCGGGGATATCACTCACAGTACCTCTAGTTTTAATTGTATTTTACATAAAAATGGGATTTAATTCTACAAGTTGTAACCCAATTTAAACCAATAGCCCCCTTTCTTAGGAGAAAATTCTCTAAAATCATACGTCTGTTTTTGAGTATTCGTAACACTCCCAACAGCCGACATGAATTTGAATAACAATATCTAGAGCTATTGAATTCCGAAACTTCATGAAGATCCTTACAAGGGAAGATACATAGCGGATTCATATCAATGTCTTTCAAGCCTCTTTCTTTACTTCTCACTAAAATATTAACAGCAGTATTGAACAACATTCAGTAGTGTTATGATTCAATGTAGGCCTATATTCAAGAAGTAATTTAAGTCAGATGTGGATACTTAAGAATTTCAAGAAACTGGAAAATTATAAATTATTTGTTTGTAACCGAAATCAATCGCAGAATAATTTTCCTCAACACTATATGCCATCAGGCTTTTTTGATATCATCGACAACTACTTTTTTATTACAATTAAGACTAAAAAATTTGCTTTTCTTGTCTTAGGTCATTTGCGCAATGATTTTACTAAATACATTCTGATTGTGCACACAAAAAGTTGGTACTACTTATATTGAGTTTCTATGTGGTTTAAGTTTAGTAGACCTTGTCCCAGGATCATGAAAACGATGTAGACTTAAATCAAGTATTCAATCGTCTCTTTAATTTTCTCCAAATTCGCAAATATTAATTCAACACTTTTTTAAAGAAATATTGAAAAAAAAAATCATTTCGTTAGTTTTATGATCGATACAGTAACAAGGTCAGCAAATGCTATCAATTGTTGATTGACATTATTTATGCTCATTGTTAGACCATTATTTCCTCACTAAATTGGCGACAGATTTTTCCATTATTTCCGAATCGTAAAAGGGAGCGCACGGCATGTGTGACCGGTCGGCAGGGGATACTCACTCCTCCATTGCATCTGATCCTACCTCCGATGTTTTAAATGTCCGTGTTTGTTCTGCTTCTGATATGTATTTTTCGAATACTTTTTTAGCTCACCTAAGCCGAAGGCTCAAGTGAGCTTTTCTGATCACATTTTGTCCGTCGTCCGTCCGTCTGTCCGTCTGTCCGTCTGTCTGTCCGTCTGTAAACTTTTCACATTTTCGACTTCTTCTCAAGAACCACTGGGCCAATTTTGACCAAACTTAGTACAAAGCATCCTTGGGTGAAGGGAAATTTAAATTGTAAAAATGAAGGGACATATCCCCTCGCAAGGGGAGATAATCAAGAAAAGACAAAAATAGGGTTGGGTCATTAAAAAATCTTCTTCTCAAGAACCACTGGGCCAGTAAAGCTGAAACTTATGTGGAAGCATCCTGGGGTAGTGTAAATTTTAAATTGTTCAAATCATGACCCCCGGGGGAAGGGCGGGGCCACAATGGGGAATCAAAGTTTTATATAGAAATATATAGGAAAAATCTTTGAAAATCTTCTCCTCAAGAACCACTGGGCCAGAAAAGCTGAAGCTTATGTGGAAGCATCCTGGGGTAGTGTAGATTCTAAATTGTTCACATCATGACCCCCGGGGGAAGGGCGTGGCAACAATGGGGAATCAAATTTTTACATAGAAATATATAGGAAAAATCATTAAAAATCTTCTCAAGAACCACTGGGTCAGAAAAGCTGAAACTGATGTGGAAGCATCCTGGTATAGTGTAGATTCTAAATTGTTCACATCATGACCCCCGGGGGAAGGGCGAGGCCACAATGGGGAATCAAAGTTTTACATAGAAATATATAGGAAAAATCTTTGTAAATCTTCTTCTCAAGAACCACTGGGCCAGAAAAGCTGAAACTTATGTGAAAGCATCCTGGTATAATGTAGATTCTCAATTGTTCAAATCAAGACCCCCGGGGGAAGGGCGGGGCCACAATGGGGAATCAAAGTTTTATATAGAAATATATAGGAAAAATCTTTGAAAATCTTCTTCTCAAGAACCACTGGGCCAGAAAAGCTGAAACTTATGTGGAAGCATCCTGGTATAGTGTAGATTCTAAATTGTTCAAATCAAGACCCCCGGGGGAAGGGCGGGGCTACAATGGGGTATCAAAGTTTTACATAGAAAGATATAAGAAAAATCTTTGAAAATCTTCTTCTCAAGAACCACTGGGCCAGAAAAGCTGAAACTTATGTGGAAGCATCCTGGTATAATGTAGATTCTAAATTGTTCAAATAATGACCCCCGGGGGAAGGGCGGGGCCACAATGGGGAATCAAAGTTTTATATAGAAATATATAGGAAAAATCTTTGAAAATCTTCTTCTCAAGAACCACTGGGCCAGAAAAAGTGAAGCTTATGTGGAAGCATTCTGTGTTAGTGTAAATTCTAAATTGTAGGAATCATGACCCCCGGGGAAAGGGTGGGGCCATTATAGGGAATCAAAGTTTTACATAGAAATATATAGGAAAAATCTTTGAAAATCTTCTTCTCAGGAACCACTGGGCCAAAAAAGCTGAAACACAAGTGCCCATGGAAGGAACATGGGGTATTGTAGATTTCAAGATGTCTAAATTATGATCAGTGGGGTAGGGTGGGGATGCATTATGTATAACAAGGGGGAAATCTGGTAAAGAACAGAATGGTCAAAGCTTCTCAGGTGAGCGATGTGGTCCATGGGCCTCTTGTTTATCTCCACACATTTCAATAAATCTGGGTAAAGCAGCTGTTATTATCTAATCAAGTAATTGAACATAATTATACTAATGTACGGTTATCATTCAATAAATTGCTATAAATATATGAAGAAAAATTGCGTATGATAAATATATTTTTGAGAAAACAAAATGATTAATATTATTTAAAGTAAAATTAAGCGATATACTTATACTATATCCTTTCCATTTTCGTACGCATTTGAAAACAAAACTTACAATTTTCAAAATATTTTTTTTTCTTTGTCACATCGAGAAAGACCTTTCCTTTGCATTATATATTTACTATTCTCAATCTACATATATACTTTATTGTCTCAAAAATTCAAAAATATAATCTTTCCAAATCTTAATTATGTGATGTTGGCATAATTTGTTTTATGTGCAACATTACGGCAAAACACTATCCAATGGATAAACAGTCATTTTGCACGTTGAGAATAAAACTAGAACGATTGGATGCACGAAATAAGCTTCTGTCATTTTTCTACAAAAATAACTTTTTTCTCGTTAATTACTCCAGTGCCCCTCTATATAAATTTTAATAATCTTGGACTTTGCAAGTTGAGGACAACCATTGTCTTTGCTTAACAGATTTTCCTGGTAAGTGTATTCCCATTTTTAATATTCGCAAGTTAATGTTATGTTATATAGACTTATCTGTACACTTATCTATATCGACTTATGATTTTTTTCATATTTTTATCGCGGATTTTATTGATATTTTTTTCTTACTTTTTACATAATTACTAGTACATGTATCATCATTACATGTATTAGCAACATAATTATTTTTATATATCAATTAATATTTATTGGAGCTAAATTTTATCCATAGCGTTCCTTGTCAAGTAGAAAGCAATTCTGTGTTCGTTGGGCCTTAATTTTGTTTATACATTGAAAACATTTAATGAAGTATGGTTTTAAAATCAGTTGCTCGTGTGCGCGCGCGAGTGTGTGTGTGTGTGAGTGGAAGTGTGTGTTTGTGAGGGTGTGAGGGTGTGTGTGTTGGGGGTGGGGTGTCGTTGTTCAGAGAAGGGAAAGGGTGATAAATCCCCCATGAAAAATGATATATTCAACGGTTATCATTTCAAGTATTTCAGTTTTAGTATTTCAGTGTTGAAGTAAATGTGCATATGATGCCGTAAAATGCCAAATATTTCGGCCAACTATTTAATGATTGAATTTTTTAAAAATATTTTCTTTGTACTGTTATGAAAAATAGAACCTAATGCTGCGTGATAATTTTTAGGTTTGAATTTTATGATATGAATGTACTTTTAGAAAAATATTTGTCTTAGAACTCTTTCTGTCTCTCTGTCTCTCTATCTCTCTCTCTCTCTCTCTCTCTCTCTCTCTCTCTCTCTCTCTCTCTCTCTGATACATGTACGTGAAAATTAAACCACAAAATCAGTAGATGAAGCATTGATGGTTAATTTGTTTTTTTTTACTCATTGCACCATTAAAAAATTGCAATTCTACTTGCAAGCAAAATTGACCCTAAAGTGTTTTTTTGAAACACAACCTAGACTTTTATATAATTATGCCAATAACGTACTATAAAAGGTTTAGAATTTTTTTTCTGGGAACCTTATGTTGTTCTTCCTAGATGAATAACATTTTATCGCTTACATTTGCAGATTGAGAGCTCAGTTGATTCAACAAGAAGATGAGGGCTTTCATTGTGCTGTTGATATCCTGCATGATCGTCATGGCAGCCTGTAATATTAATGGTAAAAAAAAATTATTTGTAAAAAAAACATTTTAGGTATGTTTTAAAATATTAATCATTGCTGTAAAACTGTCAGAAACTTGTAGGAGAAAAAATATACACTGTTCGCCATCTCTTATGTTTATCCTGAGAATATAGTTTAACAATAAATAAATGGAAGATAATTTTTAAAAAATCTGAGTATAATATTTAAAAAAACTAAACATCCTCAATTTTTCACTGCATTTCAATGATATAATCAAATGCATATAACTTTACAGGGTACAGCGAACCTGAGTATGAATATAATGGTAACGGCGACAACGGCGATAATTGTGACAATGGCGATAATGGCGACAGCGGCGATAGTGGTGATAATAGCGACAATAGCGATAATGGTGACAATGGCGATAGTGGTGATAATGGCGATAATGGCGACGATGGCGATAAGGGCGATAATGGCGATAATGGTGACAATGGCGATAGTGGTGATAATGGCGACAATGGCGACAACGGTGATAATGGCGATAACGGTGGCAATGGCGATAACGGCGATAATGGCGATAACGTTGACATTGGCGATAACGGCGACAATGGTGATAAGGGCGACAATGGCAATAAATGCCCTGAAGATCATGAGAATACTAACTGTGAAGATGGTTGAAGAAGGCGATAAATGTAGAGAACGGAAAGGAAATGACTTCTGATTTGTATTGAAAATTGAGACGAATGTACTGTTAAACATCAGAGATATTGAAAATAAATCACCAATAGACTGATCTTTGCTTCTTTTTATTGTACTATGAGACGAGTGTACTATAAAACCACACATATATCAAAATAATTATCAACAGACTGATCCTTGATTTATGTTTTAAGTTTAGATTGCGTTTTTTTGCGCCTGGGTCGATAGATCCGGGGCGTATATTGTTTTGTCCTGTCTGTCTGTCTGTTTAACTGTTTGTCTAACAAACTTTAACCATCACGATAACTTTTCAACCATGAAAGATAGAGACTTCATATTTAGTATACATACTTTACTAATTAAGCCCTTTTAAATGACACCAAGGTCAATGATCTTGTGACTTTGACTGTGACCTATATGCTAAAAATAGCTTTTGTAAACCTTTACTATAACTTTTGAACCATGAGGTGTAGAGACTTCATATTTGGTATGCATAGTCCACTAGAAGGCTCTATAAAGTGACACCAAGGCCAATGACATTGTGACCCTGACTGATCTATATGCTAAAATTCGCTTTTTTGAAATGAAATTTACTTAGTATTAAGGGCTTTATACAAATCAGTGTTAATGTCTTTGGAGACCACATTTTTCAACATTACATTACTTTCATTTTCCATGATTTCTAGTCTTTATATGAGTAATCGCGAAGAAAAATACAGGCTATTTACAATCAATGTGATTATACACAGGTATCAACGATCTAGTGTGAGTAAAACACTTCAGAATAAATGTTTAATATTATACACAGGTATCAACGATCTAGTGTGAGTAAAACACTTCAGAATAAATGTTTGACAGAATAACAATTATTGCAAATACTCTCTGTCATAAGGCCGTACAGGCATGCTTATGTTTACCGACATCTTTTGTAGTAATTATAATGCTTTGTAGCAACCTCTAATGATAAAACGCAGCTTAATGATACAAATAGCATTAAGCGTTGCAATTGCAACGCTTAATGCCATAAATTATTGCATTAATAGCTGACATTATCAACCGCTAATGCTAAATCGCCGCTTAATGACAGAATTATATCATTAAGCGTCACAAGTGCAGTGCAACACCGACGCTTAATGAAACAAGAAAATATCGACATATTCGACGCTTAATGATACACACTTGTGTATCATAAGCGTTGCAGTTGCAACCCTTAATGATATAAAATTTAGAAATTGCTTGTAATATCTAAGAGAAACACACATCCACCTTTCCTGAACAATTAGATATCACTTGTCAAAATATTTATATATGCCCTTCTGCTATATAAATTGAAATTATAGAAGTTTTACTCTAGTCAAGGGAACATCTTTAAGCCACGGATGTTTAAGAGACAGTCAGATAGCTGGAAGAAAGAGATACAAAGAAAGGGATAAATAAAATGATATTCAAATCCTTTAAAAGAACCATTTTTTTACTGAAAATACAGAAGCGAACAAGAAATAAAATTCCTTTTAATTTGATACAATGATTTGAATAGTCAACCTGAACTATATATATATACATGTGTGTGTATATATATATATATATATATATATATATATATATATATATATATATATATATATATATATATATATATATATATATATATATATCATATTTGAATATTTTTATCGAAACTTTGTATTCTAGATTTGATACAGCTTAACACATACCACTGTTAACGATTCAGATATACGCATCGAGATTTTCACTATTGTATTTTTAATATGCTTTAAGTTCGTTTCTCCAAATTCCGAAAAAGAGAGACATCAATATTAACAACTTATGTTTAAGGATATATAACAAAGAATACAAGTAATACATAGAGTAATATACAAACTATGAAATGAAAATTAATTATGATTGATTATGAAATGAAAAAGAAGTGACGTGAATTAATTTTAAAAAATATACGCATTAATTTTTTTCCGTAAGTCGGAAGTCGACTTTGTACCGTTCCGGTGTGGAGTTTATAGAGCGCATTTCGTATCCTGTTCTGACAGAGCTAGTGGCACGCGGATCGAATGCTGGATGGAAAACGGTTTTTAGTAAAATGAGATAAAAAGAAAGCATTTCATGAATAACATTTGTGAAAAAAATTCTTAAATTTTCTAATAAATATAGAGGGATAGCTGAAACAAATAGGTACCTGTAGTTATACATGTACGTCTGTTCAGTTTAGGTCTATGGTTTTGCTATGCAGTAAAATTAAGGACATCGAGTCTCAACTCTGATATCTCGACACCTCGGATATCTCGACATTTTCCGACTGTCCCGTCGATGTCGAGATAACGAAGTTTACCTGTATATTGTATTGAGAAAAAGATTCATTTATGCTTTATTTGTGAGCAATGTTACTTGAATACATCACCGTTGCATCACAACATGATTAATTTAGAATCAATTTTGAATTCTAGTAGGGTGAATTCACCATACATCGGATACCCTTCGTCTTTTGCGTGTAAGTACATTACCAATATTCCCGAAATGTAAACAAGGACGGTATTTTAATGAAGCTGGATATTTTTTCCGATTCTTTTTATAAAAAAAGAATAATAAAAATGAATCAGAATTAGAAAAAGAGCAAGAATTAGAAAAAACTGAAATTTCACCATGGATCGGACAACATAAACCAAGCATCGGACAAGTGATACGTTACATCGGACATTTTTTTTTTAAGCATACATAGGATAACAACTTCTGTCTAATTTGATTGTCCTTTTTCAATACTCTGTTTGATATGATTTTTTTTCATTTAATTTATTTATTTTTGTAATTTGTATTCTTTCACTTGCAGCAAAATATTAAAACAGACGTAAATTGGTAATTAACCACTACCTTAATTAAGAAGAAAATATCATAAAACTTGATGATGAGAAGGGGTGACTGGCATATTTTAAAGATTGATAATCATGTACCCCAAAATGTCAAACATTTATAATCTGTCCTCGTTTAGGAAGAAAATAAATAATATATGTATATCCTTGCCTGGTATGCTCCCAATACATATCTATAACCCCCCCCCCCCCCGCCCCGCATTTTTAATTTGCTCTTTAGACTATTTTATTTTATATTCATCTTGGGGGGAATTAATCTGTTCTTCACAGACAAACGAAAAATTGACCTCCCTTTTCGTAATCAGATGGCCGTCCCCTGGCCAGTGGGTGACGTTATACATGTATTTATCTGCATAAAAACTTGGTACAAACAACGTTATGTATTTTAAAATTGCGAAACAACATGGAAGCATTCGTGAATAAAATCATAACCTCCGTTAAAGAGTCGTATTTTAGCCAGCATGCATGTTATACATATTTCATCGAAATAGAAGGAAGGGATGAGGCACCATCACCAATTAATTTAGCAGTTAATTTGCATCTTCGACGACTATAGTTGAGTTGCAGCTATAGTGTTTACAACACACTTTTTCTACAAAAGGTCAGTACATGTAGATTTAAACTTCTAAATCTAATAACGCTATCGATAAATTGTATGATCTAGTTGAATTTTTGTTTTGTATATATTGTTTGTGTATACATGTAAAACTACAAACTCGGAGGGTTATATAACTTGTGAAGGACTGGAATAAATGCACGATTCCTTGTTCTAAAATTTCTAGATACGCCGCAGTGTACAATGTATATACCTCATCGTGAAAAATTAAAAAAAAAATGTGTGTGAATGTCATTAGTATTTTCACCAGACTAAGACTGAATAGAACCATTTTTTTAAATCAACAAATCGTGCATATACGTTCCCTGTATACCCGTGTTTAATAACAACAAAGGTGTTTAATTTTTTTACACAGAAAATATAATTATAGGTCATTATTCAAAAGTCAATTAACAGTTTGTCAAAAGTGCAGGTATAATTTTCATTTTGATACAAGTGTAGAATCTACATACTGCACACCTGTGGGCCACGGGGGTGCCTAAATAGCTGCTAACATGACATAGGGGTAAAAAAAACACCATGCACGTTTCGGGTATATCTCTGAAATATAATAAATTAGTCTTTCCAACGTGTATTTAAATATAGGCCCTATGTACAATGTTTGTTCTTAGTTCACAACAGATAGTAGTGATCCATGAGCATCTTTTTTATTTTGAATTTTTGTTTATACGAGCTCTTCGTTTTTCCGCGTTCAATTTCTTTTTTCTTTCTCTTTCTTTTTTCTCTTCCTCTTTCAGAAGTTTCTCATGGTACGCCTCATCACAAGATATAACGAAGAAACCTTTCGATGATTGGTCACGTTTACTTTTTGGCTGCGTTGCCGCATGAGGAATTGGTCCTAAAACGTCTGAATCGGCTGCAGCCGTTTCTCCACTTTTCAACTGCAAAAATGTAAAATAAAAAGGGGGTATTATTTGATGATGATGATTGATAATTTTCTTTGATTAAATTCTTTTATTTATAAGTAATCATAAATTAAATTTGCGTTAAACTGTATTGAAGTTTATTTACACCACCTTCGACTTCAGAGATTTCCATGTATGGAAAATGGGATCTTTATCTAACGAAACACCAAGTGCGAAGCAGATCTCGTAATGCTTTCGCTTTTCTTCTGTTAATGAGCATTCGATGGCCGCTAACGCCAGATCTGGTGGACAATCATTATCATCTGATGCCTGCTGAATGGAAGACCCCGTGACTGTAATGAAAAACCCCATATCTAGGAGGGTCTGAACTTCCTCACTTGATAATTGAGGAATTTCTTCTAACTGGTAATTGACTTCGGACTCTGAAAAAAGTATATTATATATATATGTATAATTATATATGTACAAGTATGCATATACCGGTAGATTTAATGTCAAGTCGACAAATGTAGTAATGGTGATAATACCGAATGTGACTGCATTATATTGTTTTAAAGAACTTCATTGGAAATTGAAAATTTGAAAGTGCAAAACATACGATTGATTGGTATTGCATTAGCAGCGACTGTGTTTTCAGCAGTGTTTGCAATCTTTGGCATGGCAGTGAAGGGTAAAATGTCTGTAGTCATTGGACACTGTGCTGGCGTTGGTAAGGCAGGATGGCATTCAGCTGATGGGGTAACTGATGCAACAGTAGCACCTCTTTCAGTGTAATCTAATCAAAAATAACATAAATAACATTCTGTCTTGCAATTCAAAGATATATTTTTTATCACTGAAGAGAAGCAAACAAGGTGTCATGGTGGATGGGATGCCATTATTTATCAAAAATACTTTTTAATATTTAAACTTTGAATTTATTCACCAGGATTGGCATTGTAGAGCTGTGATGGAAGGTATGCCTCTTCCGGAATAGCCTTCGGGTTCCATGGTGAAATTCCCGTCACCCGGAATCCATTAATTAAGTACGCTGGTTTTAAGCTGACCCAAGCACGTGAAAATAGTCTGAAGAAGTTGGCATGGGTTGTTGGACAGGCAGTCTCAGAAGTAAAAGTTGCATTGATTTCTTTCCACTTCTTTTTGAGGGGTCCAAACACAGTTCTGAAAAGTCATATATTGAGAAAATAAAGTGGAAAAAGATACTATCAGACCACTCTTGCTATCAGTTTGTTTGTTTGTGAGGGTGTGTATGTGGGGGGGGGGGGGTGTGAGAGGATTGAGTGTATGTGTGTTAAACGTAACTTTTGTATATCGTAGACGTGGTGCATTAACTTTTGAACATTACTGTCTTTTTGTTTGACCTACCAAACTTGCCTGAAATCTGGGTAAGTAAAATGCAGCCAAATAGATACATGTAACTATTAAAACGAAATACGTAAAAGAATGGAGAAATCCAATTTCTTAAGAAACCTTTTGTCTGGTAAAAACAATGCTAGTAAAATTTGCTAAAAGGCATTTGTAGTGTTGTAGTACTTACCGGAAATTTATATTCTCCGGTTTCAATTTTTACCTTTACTGAAAATCACATACTTCCATGATCTTACATGTGTGTTGTTAACTTGAAGTGTTTTATGACATAGAACACCACAGGAGTAAGTAATCAATGTTATAATTATGTATGCATTGAGGAGTATCATTGTTTTACCATTTAGCTTCGATATTTTCTGCATTTAACTTATATTTTCTTATATTTTGAAATGCTGACAAGTTTGTGGCTAGGTAGGCCTACCGTAAAATATGGATTATCCTTTGATTCATGTTTTATTTTAGTAATGCTATTGAATTACGCTATGTTAGATATATAAATACAAAACTTTATACTTAGAGAAGAATAGATGTAAGCTGTTCAGTCTGGTAGAATTCTGCTGTGTAAAACAGATTTTCATTTAATTTTGGAAAACGGCATAGTGTAAATTTTGGATTGTCAGTCTATCTGATATGTGTCAGCTGTTACACTTTATCTTATTGTAACACACTGTCATTATTTGTTGCAGTTTTCACCCTCTACGAGGAGCAGTAAATTTTTATCACACCAGAGTTTGTACTTGCACAGAATTGCTCTTCTTTGGTGAACAATGTGAATAATATATACCTATCCAAGGGCTGCAACCAGTGTGAGCAATGAGCAGGCATCTCCATCAGAATGATGTCATGTTCCCTAGCCTTCTCAATCAGCTCGACGTGGTGGTGGCTGTCATGGCCATCAAAGATAAGAACCTGTGGACACTGATCCCCAATATGTTTGAGAAATATCTCCTCAAACCAGAGGAGGGATAAACCCTACAGGAAAAGAAACCAAAATTAATTTTTTTTGTTTAAATGGTAATTGGAGACAATGAGAAGAATCTAGAGGTTACTTGCCTGCTTCGTCCAACCTGAGTCGGAAACGCTGACAAATGAGCCCTGTGGCGCATTTTCTGTATCCCACGATTTGAGGGCCAGCTTTGTTTTCCCTTTAAGGATGAAGTGAGGGGGGATCATATGCCCAGCAGCATTGCCACATGCCAGAATCGTCACATTTTCTCGGCTTCCAGACTTCGAATGTATATACTTGCTTCCAGTCCTGCTCACACCCCAAAATTAAATAAATACAGTTAAGAGTTAATACATGTATTGAAAAGTTTGAGAATTCATCCCCACTCTTTGGTCACTTTATTTATTAAGGTCTTTCGTTGGAACTTCCGTTTTTAACGGAAGACCTTACTGTTATCCACAGTTTTTTTCTTTTTTTTTCTTACTGATTTTGTGCACGCAAGTTGTTGGAAATGGCTTGCTTGATTTTAATGAAATTTTTCAGGACTGATAGAACATAAAAAAACCTAGACACATTTTTAGCTCACCTGAGCCGAAGGCTCAAGTGAGCTTTTCTGATCACATTTTGTCCGTCTTCCGTCCGTCTGTAAACTTTTCACATTTTCGACTTCTTCTCCAGAACCAATGGGCCAATTACCAAACTTGGTACAAAGCATCCTTGGGTAAAGGGGAGTTTAAATTGTTAAAATGAAGGGCCAAGTCCCCTTACAAGGGGAGATAATCAAGAAAAGACAAAAATAGGGTGGGGTCACTAAAAAATCTTCTTCTCAAGAACCACTGGGCCAAGAAATCTAAAACTTATATGAGAGCATTCTTGGGTAGTGTAGATATTAAATTATTAAAATCATGACCCCCGGGGGTAGGGCGGGGCCACAATAGGGAATCCAAGTTTTACATAGAAATATATAGAACAAATCTTTAAAAATCTTCTTCTCAAGAACCACTGGGCCAGGAAAGCTGAAACTTATGTGGGAGCATCCTTGGGTAGTGTAGATATTAAATTGTTAAAATCATGACCCCCGGGGGTAGGGCGGGGCCACAATAGGGAATCCAAGTTTTACATAGAAATATATAGAACAAATCTTTAAAAATCTTCTTCTCAAGAACCACTGGGCCAGGAAAGCTGAAACTTATGTGGGAGCATCCTTGGGTAGTGTAGATATTAAATTGTTAAAATCATGACCCCCGGGGGTAGGGCGGGGCCACAATAGGGAATCCAAGTTTTACATAGAAATATATAGAACAAATCTTTAAAAATCTTCTTCTCAAGAATCACTGGGCCAGGAAAGCTGAAACTTATGTGGGAGCATCCTTGGGTAGTGTAGATATTAAATTGTTAAAATCATGACCCCCGGGGGTAGGGCGGGGCCACAATAGGGAATCCAAGTTTTACATAGAAATATATAGAACAAATCTTTAAAAATCTTCTTCTCAAGAACCACTGGGCCAGGAAAGCTGAAACTTATGTGGAAGCATCCTTGAGAAGTGTAGATTCTAAAGTTTTAAAATAAAAAAGGGAAGCGGGTTGTTGGGCATGATAGGTATAGCAAGAGGGGGAATCTGGTAAAGATCTGCATCACCCAAGTTACTCAGGTGAGCGATGTGGCCCATTGGCCTCTTTTTTTTTTAATTCTGATGACGTCACTTCTGGTTCCAAGATTTTTGCAATTTAGTGAATTTGAGAGGGTTAGTTTGTCCTCGAATTTTCTCAGGGTCAGGGGTTATGGTGTTTGGGCGGGGCTCTATTGATTATATAGTGAAAATGCATTAATTCTTTGAAAATCTTCTTCTCTGCTTCTGGATATCAAATAAACTAACTAGTACATAGTTATGATGAGCAAGAATGCCTCTTTAAAAGTTGTGAATTTTATGGCCCAAGGGTCAGGGGTTCTGGTGTTAGGGCGGGGCTCTTTTGATTATATAGTGAGAATGCATTATTCTTTGAAAATCTTCTCTGCTTCTGGGTATTAAATAAACAAACTAAGTATATATTTATAATGAGCAAGAGTACCTCAACAAAATTAGTGAATTTCATGGCCCCTGTGTCAGGGGTTTTGCCATTTGGTGTAGGGGGGGCTCTTTTGATTATAGAGTGAAAATACATTAAATCTTTGATAATCTTTTCCTTTGCTCCAAGGTATTATGTCAGTGATCTAAGTATATATATTTATGATGAAAAAAGATGCACGTAGCAAATGGTTTATTTCATGCCCCCTGGGTCAGGGTTACCGGGGGGGGGGGGGGTATACATATTCTGAAAATAAATTATTGCCTTGAAATCTGCTCTTTGGTACTAATCAACCATTATGATGAAATAAAATTTATGATGATAATTCGAACATTTTGACATTTTGTGGCCCCAGGGTCTGTGGTTCCTTTGGGTTGGGGTGCAGAACAAAATTCAATTGTTCGAAAGTTGTTACATGATACTCAGGTGACCTATAAGGCCCGTGGGCCTCTAGTTTTTTTTAGCTCACCTGAGCCAAAGGCTCAAGTGAGTTTTCTGATCACATTTTGTCCGTCTTCCGTCCGTCTGTCTGACCGTCTGTAAACTTTTCACATTTTTTGACTTCTTCTCAAGAACCACTGGGCCAATTTCGACCAAACTTGGTATAAAGCATCCTTGGTTGAAGGGAAATTTATATTGTTAAAATGAAAGGCCAAGTCCCCCCACAAGGAGAGATGATCAAGAAAAGACAAAAATAGGTGGGGGCATTAAAAAATCTTCTTAAGAACCACTGGGCCAGAAAAGCTGAAGCTTATGTGGAAGCATCCTGGGGTAGTGTAGATTCTAAATTGTTAAAATCATGACCCCCGGGGATAGGGCGGGGCCACAATGGAGAATCAAAGTTTTACATAGAAATACATAAGAAAAATCTTTAAAAATCTTCTTCTCAAGAACCACTGGGCCAGAAAAGCTGAAACTAGTGTGGAAGCATCCTTGGGTAGTGAAGATCTAAATTGTTCTAATCATGACCCCTGGGGGTAGGGCGGACCATAATGAAGAATCAAAGTTTTACAATGGGGAATCAAAGCATCCTATGATAGTGTAGTTTCCAAATTATCTAAATTAAGAACAGCAAAGCCATGATCAGTAAGGTAGGGTGGGGTCGCAATATGTATTACAAGGGGGAAATCTGGTAAAGAACGGAATTGTCAAAGCTTCTCAGGTGAGCGATATGGCCCATGTAATACATAAATTTGCAAAAGAAGTGGGGGAGGGGGCTAAGTTCCTCCCTCCCGGTTCCGACGCCTATGAAACACTATGTACATGTACTAAGTATTGTTAAGTTATTCAGGAGTTAAGTTACAAGCAATTTTTGCTCACCAAATTTAATGTCCATTGCATCGAATTTTTAATGGATAACTGATTTATTGTTTGATTTTTTGGAAAGGGAACTCTTTAAAGGTACTTGGACACAGATTTGAAGTTAATATTTTCTCATTTTTTCTATATAATATCACGAATTATATATTATTAAAACTTTAAAATTTTTTGGCGGGTTTGATTGACACATCCTTGCACTTTCAAAAATTTTAACTTTATTCTTAATCCTTAGGAAAAGTGGCAATTTTGATGTGTTTTAATGAGAAATATTAAAATTTTTATCAAGAAAAATAATTTTATTCAGAGTAGAAATGTAAGAAAGCAAAACACCTTCACAAGTATCGTCATTTCGAACTAACAGATGCGTACAGAGTTTAGCAAATCGAGCACACTTGTGTTATGTACACAGATTTTGTAAACAGGGCTCGAGTCGTGTTATTGTTTATATTTAGAATTCACCGGGTGCGTTCAATCGTCACAGTCTGCTTACCACAACTGCACGGACTGACAATATATTGTGTGTTTGTTTTGCTTTCGAACGTGTCTACTCTGAATTTTCTGGATTATAGTATTAATATTTTTCATTTATACAAAACGAGATTGCCACTTTTCCTAAGGATTAAGAATAAAATTAAATTTGTGAGAGTGCAAGGATATGTCAATCAAACCCGCCGAAAAATTTGAAATTTCAATATCTTTTGAACGAATTAAATTGAATTATTCCTGAAATGAATGCAGCCTTAAACTCCGATGTCAAATTTGTATTTTCCTTTGTTATAATGCAGAAATAATACTTTATTACTTTGTTCTTTATTTGTTAATATGAAACCATAGTTGTATGAATAAAAAATATCTATATGTGCATAATATATTGTAATTTATATCTGTCATATTCGTGACTATCAATATGTAACTGTGCATATATAATGAATACATTGAGAATTCACCTGGCAACAACGAGCGGGGAATCGGACGAGAGAGAAATAAAGGTCTCGTCCATGTTCCAGATTTGTGCGGGGTTCTCGATTTTGTTTGTAGTTAGAGTGTCGTGTAGTGCGTAAAAGTACTTCACCCCTACTAATGTTATTGTGATTTAAATTCATGACACGTGGTTTAGGTTTACCTATTCAAAGGTTATAGGGCAGATCCGGTTTTATAAATAAAATTGTCATTAAACAGGAAATTGCTATAGTCTGTTTCTTCTGAAAACATGTCCTGTGAAAAATGTTTCCACACCTTTCTGAAAGACTTTCATGATTTTCAACAGAAATGGTTGGCTTACGGGGGGGGGGGGTATACTAATTAATACATCTTATAGTTAATTGCAAAAATTGCAGCTCACTAGCGACCGATACCCGATACTCTGGTAAAAAAAGTGTAATATCATCTTCACTGACAAACCTTTGTTTGCCTTATATGGCTATTGCTATTAATGCGCACAGCTTACCACGAGCAACTGACCAATTATTAATTGAATACGTTTACGCCCAATACATGTTTACATGTTACTTCGAACACGTGGTTCAGGTCAATCTATGATCATGTCAGTGGAGTGCAAAATAAAAAAAAATGTTCTTATGAACAAAGTGCAAACATTAGAAACTAAGAAAAATATCAGAGGCGTTTTTAATTTGTTGTTTACTAGAGAAAAATATGTTTGATAAAATGTATACGTAATTAGTGTCAAGTTCAGAACACCAGAACTTCAAGGGTAAGGAAAGTGAGCAGCTTCTCGTATGCATTTGAATGGACAAACATTTTTTTTACAGAACTATACCCGTGATCACGTGTGTTGGCCAGGGAATCCACCTGACAATTGTATTCACCGATAGTACAATAAAGGAATTTATCAAGCGTAAAATTCCTGTAGTATTCGTAGTAACCCAAAATGCAATTCTCATTCAGCTGATTTGTCAGTTAAAGCCACATTGGTGCCTCATTTGCTAATCTGACGCCAAAAAATATAGTCCCGGTTCCCATGCAAAATATTTGTCCAAAAAGAAATTCATGACAGCAGAAAATTGTATCATAGAGAATACTTAAAAATAATTTAAACTTGAATGAATTCAAGAAAGATCGATTGAAGTACATTTTAACAGAATGATATAATAGGGTGGTGAAAACTAAAACGCAACATAACTTTGCTGTTTACCATGTCTCCACGTGCTAGTCACTTCCTAGCCACATTTCCGTGAATAATTTACCCTTTCTCGCTGAAGTCTCGCTAACTCTCGCCAGAGCCACTGTCAGAGCTACTCTGAACTCATCGGATTTTATAATTTGCAGAACACCGAAAAAGAAAAGGTTCCGAACACATTAGTAGGGGTGACTTGTCCGTCCGTTCTTTTGTCATTGTCTTGTGCCTGATGGTAGCTGTGGACTCGGGCTGGCGCAGGGACACAGACCCATTCCTCCTTTTGAACATCGTCCACCATTTATTGGATGGTACACCGGACTTGAAAGATACTCCCCTCCTTTGAGCTAAGGCTCCAGCAGCGCGCAGAAAATTTCTTTTGCTAAACCCTACCCCCATTTCGGCACGGGTGGTTGCACTTTGGAGTAAGTCCCTTTCGTCTGCCTCCGATAGAAGGGGCGTCTTGCCGTTGATCGCCCCCTCCTTCACCCTTCCCGAGATTCGGTCATGCAGAGTAGATCTGGGGACGCCATACTTTTTGTAGGCCTTGTTTAGAGAAATTTGGCCAGATTTCACCTCTTTTACTGCAACGGTCATGGCGTCGGCAGACCACTGATTCCCTTTAGTGGGAGCCATTGAGATACCTAGTCAATATCAAAAACAAGAATTCTAAACTTGATATCGAGCTTTATTTTAAAATATGATACAACTTAGGTCGCTTAAACATTGCTTAATGCGTTGTACATTATTTTCACTTGTTTGAAATCCTACATTGCATTTCTGCATTGGCCCAGTTCTCTGAGAAAATCGTTCAATTCCCGACTTTGGCTTCAGATAAAAAAGCCCCTGAATGAGATTTTCTTTAATTATGAATGCAATAGCCTGGGCGTCACTTCTTCTTAAATAGCCCTTGCAACGTCGTGTTTGTCTATCTTCACATATTGCCATTGCATTTGGGTCTTTTGGGTTATTTGGTTCTGATTTCAGGAAATACAAGGTCCCCACCTCAAGCTGACGAGGCCCCCAGTGATGCATACCCACAGCGTAAACACTATACAATTATAGCCTTTTGATGAGGTCAATCCCTCGATATATAGACCTTAGAGAAAGCATATCGACCGAGCACGAAGTGCGAGGTCGATATGCTTTCTCTAAGGTCTATATATCGAGGGATTGTACCGAATCAAAAGGCTACAATTGTTTTATTATTTTTTATTAGTTAATAAGAAATGTCTTAAAATCCTTCTTTATAATACCCAGTACCTTCTCATACAAGGCATTGTTATGTCATTGCATTATGACGTCACAGTAACGAAAACAGCTGAAGTATCTGTTTTTAGAAACATCCAGTCTATAAAGACTATTGTGACGTCAGCACAATTGTTGCTTCACAGAAGAAAGTGTCCAATTTTAGAAACAGCAGGTTTATAAATTTTTAAAATAGAAACATCCAGTCTGTAACACTTTTTATACTTGATCATGTGATACAGTTTGAGCCAATCAGATAGTTGGAACAATAAAGAAAAATAATAATTTTGATTATAACGTTCTTCATTTTTTGACACTGAAAAAAGATTATTTTAAAAGGGGTTTTATATGATTTGACAATATAAAGTTATAAACATACACGCGCACTATACTATTCCTTTTCTTCATACAATCAGGACACCCCCCTTAAAAAAAACAGAATGTTTAGGTTGGACATTCCCTGACATTTTTTTTTTTTTTCAATTTATGTCGAAGAATAGATTTTAAGTCTTGCTAAGTATGGTCATACTTATTTGAGTACATTTTGTATTGACGTTAAATAATGCTACAACTTAAAAATATAATAAAATACAGCAGAAAAAAAGACTGGTTGAGAAAAAAAACTATCAAGTTATAAAATACGATGTAGTCTTAAGCAAAGTATTATAAAAGCCACCCTTTCATTTTTTTTGTTACTGTTAGGTTGAGCAGTGTCAAATTGCAGGATTTGGAGACAGATTATAATTATTTTTTTTCATTGATTCTTAATTTATTTTGGAAGCCCCCCTTTAAAACAGGTGCCACGAGCCTGATTAACCATGCATCGGACATTGTCCGATGCAAGGTAAATTTGTGTCCGATGCATGGTGAAATGGAATGTTGTAGAAAAACAACGCTGGTACAAATATGCGTAAGTCAAATTGTAAATTTATGCATTTTTTTTCAATAATTTAATACAATTTTTTTCTGAAAATATGAAAAGTTTCCTATATCTAACAAAAACATTGAAAGAGGGATAACTCTAACTTTTACAATGACATTAAAATCTGCTAACTCACCTTCTGATGATGTATTTTCTTGACGTCACTTTCAAGGGCACCGAGTTGAAAAGTCTGACCACGTGATCATAATACTCAGCATCATCATAAAGTTTGAACATTCGATATTATGGTAATACAAAACAAAATACAAAAAAGATATGATAATTGTTTTATTTTTAATTTCGAAGTTGTCCGATGCAAGGTAGGTATCCGATGCATAGTGAATTCACCCTATGTATCAAATTACAATATACATATTGACTGAGGTTGCAGAGGCTGTTTTTTTACATTCTAAATGACGCATATTTCATTTGTAGCATTTTTTTCTTTCGATATATAATACTAAGTTTACATCTGACTAATATTAAAATGAAATAGATTTAAATTTATAGTTCTTTTTTCGATACAAAAGAGACCCTCTCTATTATTAAAACATTGCTGTGATGTCATTCCTTTGTTCTTGCACTCTAAAAATTTACCTATGGCAGTCCGATATTAGTGAGCAGTCTGATATTAATCGTAATATCAGACTGTCTCAGTACTGATATCTTGCAAAATCGGACTGCTACTGAAAAAAAGAAGTAAAAAGTGTGATAATTTAGCAAACAGCAATTTAAATTCCTCACATAGAATGATGATTTTGAAACATTGTTCTTAAAAAATTGGAAAATTATTCAATTACACCGAATATACTGTATATACAGGAAGAACTTGGGGCAGACCAGATAATGCAAATAAAAAAAATGCACAAAAAACGCGTAAACTTCTAATAAACTTCTTGAAATTGGAGAAGAGTTTCAGCCCCTTTCTCTGATTTTTGAAAAAGAGTAGGTACACTGGGGGTCACCAGAGAAGCACATCAACTTTCATTTAAGCCCCAAAAATAAATTCATAATAAAACACAAAGTTTAGACACTATAAAGGGCAGCATTCAAACAATTTGATTTCATTTTTCTCATTACAAGAAAATGCCTAAATGCAAAATCAAGGTAACTAGGCCTAGTATGTGATAATTAATAATTAATTTTATAGATTTGCAACAAATTTTGAAAGAAATTTTAAGATTTTCAAAGTTTCCCTAAAAAATCCCGGATTATTGATTATGTTTGTTTTTCTGTAATGGAATATCAAAAACAAAGGTAGAAGATGAACATAAAAAAGAAATGGACTGGTGTATCTTTAGCATCTACTTAATTTTCTGTGGATCTTCTTCATATCGGCGCTTTCCATTCCATTCCAAATTCATTGTTCACTAGATTGTCTGTTTGTATGATAATTCGTTACACTGCATTTATAATCTCTGTGTGTGTTTTAATGATGAAAAATTTTGTCCCCTTTCTCCTTATCAAATTCTTTCAAATACCTTCTTCAGTGTAGCCAAATCCCTAAATACTGAGTACTTTTCATTTAAGCCTGCATTCTTGAAATAATTGCTTCAGTGGTCATTAGAGTGTCTTTGTTCTAATATCGGACTGTCTCAGGTAAATCAAAAGCAATGTTTTAAGTACGATATATGCCGAATACAATTCTGTATTAAAAAATATCAGACAGTTTTCGGCCTTTACGGGCCTCAAACTGTCTGATATTTTTTAATACAGAACTGTATTCGGCATATATCCAATACATACTAGTATTCGTCAGAAGTATTTCGCTCACTGCGAACGGGTATTGAAAGGTCGCATGAAAGGTCCGACTATGCTTTACTTGCATTGGTTAATACTTTAATGATCGTCTCATGCAACTACGGCCGAAATGGGAGAGGATCGTACATTTTGACCGTGGTTTGCGACGTTCCAAAGTTTACACTATAGCAAATCAAAGATCCAAAGTATTTACTTTGCTTCTCTAGTTAATTATATTTAAGTATAGTAAACTATATAGTTTTCTATATTATTTTTTTTGTAAGGGACATTCCGCTATTTAACGTCAGCCGTGAGTGAAAAAAAACTGTCTAAATTTCAGACTTAAAAGCAGAACCGACTAACAGGCGAGTATAAATGGTACATGTATACCGAAATGGATCATTATTTACTGACAATTGCAGTGGAGACAGACAGAAATCTTTCTAGTTAGCTAGGAATAGAATTAACCACTTTTGAATAATATAAGAAATTATTGTTTCTAATTGCAATATATTCACTAGTCTTGGCCCAAAAAGTCAAAACATGATAAACATGCGACATTTACTCCCGAAGCTTCTCTTCTATATTTTTTAGTACCCCGAGCCTGATCCCAATTCAAACACATTACACTCCTCCCCTTTTACACAAAAGATAATAAAAAATACAAAAGATGAATAAATCCTATCTGGACATACAAAGTAATCATGATTAATTTTGCAATGTCATAAGAATTGCAACATGCAGCACAGTTCACCAACGATTTCGCTCTATAAGTCCAATTTTTTAGTGGGTTTCCTCATCCTGAGTGGATAACGACGTTCCGGCACTGCATCAGTCTGATCAGGCACCTTGGTATCCTTGTTTACAGAGTCCGCAAGTTTTTCTTGAGTTTCCACCATCTCAGGAGTTCCCTTTCCTGTTTCATCTGGAGACACTAAGGCCCGATCCATTCCTGGCTCTTTAAAAGAGGGTAACTCTACATCAAAGGACAGCGGTGTAAGTTCCGTCTCCAGCATCGTAGCATACGATGCTAATAAATGATCTACGTGGCAATAGCGAATGCGTTTTCCAACTCGCACAAGATACGTTAATGGTCCCAACTTTCTATGAATCACACCAGATATCCACTTCCATTTTTGTCCTGGAATAGTTGTTTTCACTTGAACTTGTTCACCTCCCTGAAATTCCCTGACTTTACACTGTCCACCATCATGTTGTTCTTTCATCTTTTGCTGTTTCTTCTCCACCGACTCCCGAAGATTAGGTTTAATGCAACTCAACCGGGTTCTTAACTGGCGCTTAAGAAATAGTTCTGCAGGTGATGTACCAGTAGTGCTATGTGGAGTTATGCGATACCTTAACAAAAAGTTGGCAAGGCGCTGCTGAAGAGACCATCTATGACCATCAAAATCTTGCCTCTTTAATGCTTTTTTTAGAATCTGTACTCCTCTTTCAGCCAACCCATTTGACTGAGGATGATAGGGCGGTACAAGTGTATGTTTAACTCCACTGTGCTTCATGAAGTCTTGAAACTCAGAAGATGTAAACTGGGGCCCATTGTCACTCACTATTTCTTCAGGTATTCCAACTGAGGCAAACCATGTTCTTAACTTCTCTATGGTATTGCTGCTTGTGGTGGACTTCACTGGTATGACTTCCAGCCATTTTGAATAACTGTCGACAATAACAAGAAAGGACTGCCCCTTATATTCTGCATAATCTATATGCACTCGTTGCCCCGGTCTAGATGCCCAAATCCAAGGATGCAGGGGGCTTTCTTTTGGAGTGTTTCTGGTAGATGCACAAGCTGAACATCTTTCAACCATGTCTTCAATGTCCCTGTCTAAATAAGGCCACCAAAGATACCCCCTGGCTAAGGCTTTTGTTCGAGACATTCCTAAATGTTCATCATGCAGCTCTAGCAACAAGCGACCTCTAAACTTGTCCGGAATGACCACTCGCATCCCCCACATGAGCAATCCCTTTTCCAGTGTAAGCTCATTCCTTCTATCAAAGAAAGGCTGCAAATCAGAATCCTCTACATGAGCTGGCCAGCCGTTCAGAGTGAAATCATACACCCTGGACAGAATCGGGTCTCTTCGGGTAGCCATAGCTATCTCCTGACTGGAGATGGGTAAGTACATATCCAATGAAAATACTCCTTCTTCTGTATCCTCCTGTTCTGTCTCATGTAGTGGTAGTCTCGATAAGGAATCACAATTACCATGCTGTTCAGATGATTTGTACTGAATGTCATACTGATACGCAGCCAGTATCAGTGCCCAACGTTGCATTCTGGCTGCAGCTAATGGGGGAACACCCTTTTTCGGTCCCAGAATTGACAACAACGGTTTGTGATCTGTTACCAATGTAAATTTGCGTCCAAACAAGTACTTATGGAATTTCTTTACTCCAAAAACTGATGACAGTGCCTCTTTTTCTATTTGAGCATACCGTCTCTCGGTTTCACTCAGTGTTCTGGAGGCAAAAGCTATTGGTCTCTCTGAGCCATCTTTCATTACATGCGATATTATTGCTCCAACTCCATAGGAAGATGAGTCGCACGATAATCGGAGAGGTTTCTTGGAGTCGTAAAACACTAAAAGTTTACTCTCAGTGATCATCTTTTTACAAACATTAAAACTCTCCTCACAGTCAGCCGTCCAATTCCACGGTTCATGCTTCTTTAACAACTTGTGGAATGGGTTTAACTCGGTACTTAAGTTTGGCAGAAAAGCACCATAGTAATTCAAAAACCCAAGAAAAGCTTTTAACTCCTTTACTCCAGTAGGTCTAGGTGCATCATTTATGGCCTTAACCTTTTCTTCTGTTGGGTGTACTCCATTGTGATCTAGCAGGAACCCCATATAAACCACTTGGTCTGCAAAAAACTCGCACTTCTCTGCTTTCAACTTAATGTTATGCTTTCGCAAACGTCGAAATACTTCTCGAAGCGTATTCAGGTGAGTAGTATCATCCGCCGCTGTAATGAGAATGTCATCTATCCGACATACCAATGATCAATAGGACTTGGTCCATAACTGACTGAAATATTGCGCTTGCAGAACTAACTCCATAAGGTAGCCGGGCATATCGAAAGAGTCCAAGGTGAGTATTAATGGTTAGACATTCTTGAGATTCTCTGTCCAATTCTAGCTGAGAATAGGCTTGACTTAGATCCAACTTTGTAAATTTTTTTCCACCTGCTAAGCTGGCAAACATGTCATCTGTGTTGGGCAGTGGGTAATGCTCCTCACTGATAACCCGATTAACTGTCATCTTATAGTCTCCACAAATCCTCACTGACTGGTCTGCCTTTGGAACCACCACTACAGGTGCAGCCCAGGAGCTATTTTTTACTTTCTGAAGAACACCTCGCTCAACTAGTTTTCTCAGTTCATTTTCCACTTGTTCTTTAATAGCATAGGGTACTGTGCATGCTTTGCAAAATATTGGATGTCCGTCCTCCTTCAACCTAATCTGTGCTTTAAAATCCTTTATTGGTTCTGTGCTTGGCAAGAATAGGTCACTATACTCTCTCCTTAGGGTCTCCATTTCAATCATACGTACTGCAAAGACTTCTTGCCAGTTGAGTTTTATTTTTGACAGCCAGTCCCTCCCCAATAAACTTGGTCGCTGTCCTTGGGCAACTAGCAATGGTAGCTCAACGAACTCTTGATCCTGGTACTTTACAGGAACATGACACACTCCCAGCAACCCGATTTCATCTCCAGTATATGAACGAAGTACAGTATCTGTTTTTGTGAGCTTGAAATGCTCTAAATGTCTCTGGTAAACTGCCTCACCTACAATGGTACGAACACTCCCGGTGTCAATTAAAAATTCTACCTCTTCATCTCCCACTGTTATGTTCACCGTCAACTTCCTTCTGCTATGGTCTTTTTCATTGGTACAGAAAATAGAACAAATGCTGTCTGATGAATCTGATGTCTCATCATCTGGCTTAGCCACAAGCAGTGTAGATTTTTCTGATATTTTTTCATGTGACACTTCTTTGCTATATGGCCAATTTTCTGACACTTGAAACACTTGCTGTCTTTGAATTTACACTCCTTCGGGTTATGGTTATTCCCACATCGGTAACATTCCTCCGAATATTGTCTTTGAAATTTCTTTCGGTTCTCAGATTTCCTCCCTGAATATTTTGTTTCCACACTGTGTATTCCTGGATCAGGAGTCAAAAATGCCAATGTGTCTTTTTCAGCCGTTTCCATGGCATACGCAATCTTGACTGCTTTATCGAAATCCAGTTCCGTCTCTGATAACAACTTTTTCTGTATTGCTTCTGACCGTAACCCACAAACCAGTCGATCTCTGACTCTAAGTGCTTCAGGCAGAAATTCTCCAAACTCACAATGTGTAGATAGCCTCTTTAACTCAATTACATACGAGTAAACACTTTCACCCTCCTTCTGGTTTCTCTTATTGAATTTAAATCTTTCAGAAATAACTAACGGTTTGGGCATGTAATACCCCCGCAACACTTGCACTAAATCTTTGTACTCTTTTTCTTTCGGCAGGGCTGGTTGCACTAAATTTTTCAAAACTCCATAAGTCGTTGGACCAATAATCGACAAAAATACAGCTACTTTCTTTTGGTCCTTAACTTCATTTGCCGCGAAAAATTGTTCAAGTCTCTCCACATAATTCGCGAAGCTTTCTGTGCTTTCATTAAACTCACCGACTTTTCCTATGTGGGTCATGCTGATTCTTCGATAAAGAGAATTCAAACGTTCCGAATCCTCGTCGCCAATGTAATATATTCACTAGTCTTGGCCCAAAAAGTCAAAACATGATAAACATGCGACATTTACTCCCGAAGCTTCTCTTCTATATTTTTAGTACCCCGAGCCCGATCCCAATTCAAACACATTACACTAATTATTCCAAACATAACGTATAATGCTTTGATATGCTTGACGTTTGGTATTTAAGGCATGGCATTCTTGGCGCTATATAATTTAGATTTTAAATTGATTCCAATTGGTCACTAGCTCATCTGATTCTATACATATAAAGTAGCACAAATGTAAGGAAAGAAAGAAACACAGAAGTCTTTCTGTGTGCTGTCTAAATGGCAAAAATAAGCACGAGTTAGAGTTCTTATTGCAATGACATTTATTTATTTTTCATTTTTTATCGTTATAAAAAACAATACTTTGATTGGAAATAATTACTTTAAGACCCTGGGTAGCACATGCAATTTAGATGATAAAAAAAAAACGTAGGTTGCATATAAAGCAAGTCTGTGGAAAAATTTTCCAAGTAAAAGGGGAGGGCCTCAAAAATGGAGAATAAAAAATCCATAATCTTCCCAAAACATTAAAGAAATATTTAACTTAAGTAGGATTCTTCTCTGGTTTCTGGCTAGATGGAATATTCAAAGTATATTTGTTGATGTGTCTTATATATTAGATGCAAGAGGTTTAAAAGATATTTCTCTCCTTATCACAATTATACAACTTGAAATAGAAATGGTAAACTGCGTTTGGAAACTAGCAGGGACTTTATTTTTGGCGGAATGGTGGCGTATGAAAATATCTTCTTTTCTGCCTCTCAAAATTATTATAGAACATTGAATTTAGTTATAATTTTTATGCAATAAAAGACTAGACGAAATTTTCAGTATAAAGTTAAATTAATAATAAGAGACTAAAGTTTCAAAATATATCAATTAATAAGATTTTTCACACATACTAGAACTATGTTTGCTTTTAAATGATTAAAATCTAAGTACAGATTTGAGCAAAAAAAATCCGTAAAAAGTGTTATTTCTCTTTTAGTAAACGATCAAAACTTTTAGTTTTTGTATCATTTTGTACCTTTATGTGACAACTTCACTATATGTGAAATTTGGAAAATTTTAATATAGGAAGCATATAAAAATAACTAATAAATCCTAAAAAAAAAATAAGAAAAATAGAGGAAATTCGGATTAGCAAATATCCATTTTATTTGAATTATCCATGTCAATTTGGTTATATCGTCTTATAGGCCCTATATGATAGTATTTTTTTTATGCAAAAATAAAAAAAAAATAATCTTTTAAACTACAAGTAGGGATCGCATTATTGGAAACAGTATTTTTAGCTCTACTGGTCAGAGACTAAAGGAGCTTATGCGATAGTAATGCGTCCGTCGTCCGTCCGTTTAGTTGTCTAGCTCTCCGTCTGTCTGTAAACGTTTTTTTTAAAAACGCTCCTCCTCCTTCAGTTTTGGTCTAATTTTAATATAACTGGGCACACAAGTAGACTACACTAAGATAGATAAAGTAGTGCATCAGTTTTTGATTTCGATGCACGGTGTTGCCATGGTTACTAAAAAAAGAATTTTCTGTGAAATTCCTTTAAACGCTACTCCTTTGATCTGATGGCAATGACTTCATTTCTCACCCTTTGTTATAATACAAACCAGTAGAGCTACAGTCTCGACAGAGACTTCAGCTTTCATGTTAAGGTCAGACGACACGTTCCTCAAAAAAATTTTTTTTCTTAAGAGATTGTCATTGAAGAATAGGTATTTAAACTAAAATTCCTCGCAAAAAATAAGGGTACCTTACCATCCATTTGGACAAGATACCAAAGGTTCATATTTCTTATACAACCCTTAAGGGTAATCTTTCTGAACGGCCTATTTTACTATTTTTAGTGTACCTATATTTAAAAACATTTTGAAAACAATGTTGAAATCAGAAGAGAATGCCCAATATGAATATTTTTTATCTTATTCCAAGAGATACAAACATATTATTAAGGAACGTGTCGTCTTACCTTAATGTCCAGAAAAAAAAGTAATGTCCTTGACCTGACCTTGCCTCTAATATTAAATGGTCAAATTAAATCTCACTGATACCATCACTTAGTGATATTGTCCTCTAGAATCTGTGAAAATTTCATTAATTTTTAAATACAAGAAATGTGAGAAGAATCCTACCTTAACCAACATAAAATATTTATTAATGTAAATAGCCCCAACCCCATCCCATCCCGACGCTTACAAACATACTTTGTCTCATTACTTCTCCTTAATTTTTTTTTTATTTTGATGAGAAAGTCGGTGACGTTACATTGGACGACAAACTGAAATTTAAAGTTTTTTTTTCACGACTGGCGTAAAAAAAAACGTACGGCGGTATATTTAGGACACGCAATTATTTTTTTTTAAATACCAAGGGAAAAAAATGATCGTGTAAAAACGACATAATTATCTTGTGAAAACGATATAATATCTTGTGAAAACGAGAAATTATCTTGTGAAAACGACATATTATCTTGTGAAAACGATATATTATCTTGTGAAAACGAGATATTATCTCATTTCACATGATAATATCTTATTTTCACAAGATAATAAGTCGTTTTTACAAGATAAAATCTCGTTTTCACAAGATAATAACTCGTTTTCACAAGATAATTATATCTCGCTTTTCACAAGATAATTATGTCGTTTTTCACAAGATAATTTTTTTCAGTATTTCTAGAAAATTAATTCCTTGTCCTAAATAACCCACCGTAAAAACGAACATATCCTTAAAAAAAATACTACAGTAAACTATAGTACTAAAGTACCAAAGTAAACATTTAGAAAATTAAATTTACTATTTATAGTGAAAACTTTGGAACTTTGATTTGCTATAGTAAAAACTTTAAACTTTGATGTACAACAGTGAAAACTTCGGAACTTAATCAACAGTAGTAAAGACTTAGAAGCTTTGATGTAGTTATGTTTTGATTCCTATTCTTAATATTTCATTAATTGAACATTCAAAATAAACGCATTTGACACCACAGACTCTTGTATTTCATATAAGTTTGTACTTCCTCTACTCTCTTAACTGTTCTCATGACACAGTCACAAACACGTTTCTTTTTTCAAATTTATTGAATCAATTAGAGAAAACATCATATTATACATCAATTTACAATTTGACAAGAAAAAGGGGACAATGGAAGTAAATGGTCACATTGTGTTAACCCAAGGTCCGAGGGGATATCCAGTATACCAACCTAGCAGGTATAACGGGCAAACTGGTGGCCTGGCGTTGAGCGCCAGTACCAAGAATCCCAAACTATGAAAATACCACCCATTTGGGATTGGAAGAGTTTTCAAAATATCCGTTTACCCCGTTTCCCAGTGATTGCACCTGGTTGTTAGTACTTTACCATGTACTCCAGGACTAAGCCTCCCCTCCTGTGTGAAGAGGTGGAGTGGGCACCAAGACTGTCTAACTTGAGTGACCCCAATCTTTGACACACTTTTCCAAAACACATACGTACATATGTAAAAAATTTGCTTTTTACAAACCGCCCTCTGTCTTAGATGACAGATGGGGGGAACCCTAAGGCCAGATAATTTGAAAACTTCCCACTTATATTCCCCCAAGACCCGCCACAGACATCGATACGATGTTCCTCCATATTCTATGCACCAAAACCACCCATGTTTTATTCATTAATTATTTTATTATAAGCGCACCCGACCTAAGGTTATTTAACATCACCTGATTGCCCTCATCAGAGAGGTGTGTCCCGCCTTAACGAAATAGACCTATATTGTTGACTGATATGTTATCATGTAATATAAACCCCCCCCCCCCCCCCAATTCAGTAATGAAGTTGTTGACCTGCTTGTTTATTTTCCTTCGTTTTTTATCAATCTTGTGGCCAGTTTTTAATGGTGCACCATGCCAATATAGCGATGATCAAAGGGGCGCCCAACCCGTTGTAAGAAGACTTGTTTGTTTATCTTTTTGTACAATATTTGTTTGTTGGTGAATACTTTTTAGATTGTTTGCCTCCCTATAATCTCTGGGGCCCTGGTACTGCAATTTGAAACCCAGATTGAAACCATTTAAAATAACTGTTTTTTCTTTTTAATAAATTATGAAGGTAGTGAGACAATATGTTAACATTAATAGGAGTTTTCCCCAGTGTACAAGTTGATGATACAAGGCTAGAATTGTTTAGTGCTCTTGCAAATGGATGCTGCATGTCCCCCATCACACAAGTTGCATGCATGGTTGAACCTACAATTTGGGTAAACCTGATTTACCAGCATTATAATAATGACAATATTGGGTAGCATTAGCACTAGATGATAAACGGTTTTGTTGGGCTGAAATTATGTTATTTGTGTGATTGACTTTGCCTTGAGGGTTAACCCTATCTTGAGCCTGAGTTAGACTGTTGTTCGTGATATACAATAGCCACAATTCGCTGTTTATTTGCCCCAAGGAAGACTGGGGGTTAGACACTTTGAGTAGGCGAAACTGTTCATCATACTTGAACCAACCTGTAGATCGGGATGCTGCAATTCTTACATCCCGCATGTATTTTAATAGTTCCTAGGACCTTGTTCTATACTTTTCCAGCATAATACTTGTAAATATAATGAATTCAGATGTCCATTCTTCAATAGATAGCAAAGTGTTTGATTTTTGCTTGACAAGGCACATAGTGCCGTTGCGTATTTGAATATGACCTTGTGTATTTTCGTGGTCGACCAGTTCCCTAGCGGATTTTAAGAGCAGGGACAAATTTATGAATTGTCCCTCCCAAATTTTTGTTTTGAGCTTTAAAGGGACATGTGTATTGATCGGGTCAAAGGCGCAAGTGTTCAAAATTGGTTGATATTCTTGAATACTAAAATTCGGTCCAACAAAATTTTCAATGGGTGGCATTAGAATATCAGACTCACCAATTTC